CAAGATCGCAAAGGAATGACTTGCCTCTCGTGTGAAATACATTTTTGATTAAACGAATGTCAAATGTACACTTAAAACAAAAATAGTTAAAAACAAACAAAAAACCACCATCGGTATTGATACTGATACTTGGAGCTGTCCTTCCCCTAGGGTGTATAATGTTTTATTCTCAATTTCATTTATGTCAAGCTTATAAAATCATCCAGAAAATGGAAAGTCGTGAAATAGGATTAATTTTCATGTCATCAAAATTCGGAAGCGATTCTCTCGATATGGAAATTTTGAAGTGTTGTCTAGATATTATGAGATGGATAATAACTAGGTAGGTCATGACTTTTCGTACACATTTCCTGACAGTTGGTGAAAGGTCATTTGGATTCAAGCTGTTGCACTGACAACCCGCATAATCAAAAACTATTTGCACTATAGTAGTAATATTACTGACGACATATGCAGTAGCGTTATTATTGGGACAGTCCTCATTTTATACAAATAATATAAAACTCCACCAAAGCGTACGACAAATAATTGTACAAGGATGATGATTATACAACATACTGTTGCATAATATTCGTTTATAATCCGTGTATGGCAATTCTGAGTCCATGAACGTTAAAAACTTGAATTGAACGATCAGACAAGTAATAATGATCTAGTGTATACTTCTAGTATAGGTATTTATCTTCCACTATCAAGACATCATAGCGGAAGACGACACACATACACTATCATTTTTTATCTTCATATAATAGCTGTATGATATCTGGAGAGATCCTATAACAAATAACTGAGTGGCGTGTGTATGGATTGGTGTTCAAACTTTGTTGTTGCATTTCGTTCGCCATGTTGTCTTCTGAATTTGTTTAACAGCAGCCACCCATTTTTTGTAAGTTTGCTAGGAAATATTTAAATAAAACAAAATATCTATAATTAAGCTTTCCACAAAAAATCTTTCAGATGCTTGATCAGAAGGTTTAGACTACCAATACCTCACCTTCACTGCCTTGAGAGGCTACGGCTTAATAAACACAAAATGGAGCCGGATCTTATAAATCCAAAATGAAAATCAAAAGTAAGTAGAAATCAACAGTTCAGTGAATAAAAATACATTGAAATTAAATTTTTAGTGGCTTTTAACTTACTTGAAAGTATAGTAGATCAATTTATAATATTATAATTGAGCATATCTATCATTGCACAATACGACGGTCAATTTTATTCTTATCATCCAATTGTTCACAAATGACAAGGCATTCCTTTTTCCTTAGGTTTAAAGGATGAAAATGTAACCATTCCCCATGCTATTTTGCCAAAAACTTGTTCCCGAAAATCGTCGTTTTCGTATAGTAACTATACTTAACCGCCCTTTCCCCATATGGTACATTTGCCAGTTACTATATACTGAATCATGAAAACTATCTATGGCATGAGACGTTTATCGTTTTTCGGATGATTCTGGTTGGCGTAGTGTAATCGTAGTAAATCGTTTAAAACGGCAATGCATATCCTTCTATTATGGTTTGTATTTATGCGGGAAATCACCAACTTGCAAGAAAAATTGGAAACTTGAACGCGACCGGGACGGTCGTTCTGAATGCGAGTGAGGACGGATTTGCAAAAAATCGTCTCCTCGCAGTGGCAAGGCCACAGAAATAGAACGCGACCATCAGTACGTGACCCATCAGTAGTACATTGCTCGAACCACGCCGGACAGACGGGTGAGGACTACCTTACCCTGACCCAGCGGGTTCAGGGTTCAGCGCTGGATCAGACGACTGAAGGAGCTGCTCTGGCAGGCTCACACAGACCTGGAACAGCGTGATACTGAAATTCACAGGCTTACCAAAGAGGTTGTTGAGCTGCGGCTCTTGAAAGCATCGCTCAGTTCTCCGGAGGAACGTTCAAATTCCAGTGACGCCGTAACGATGAGGGAGAAGACCACTAACGATGCAAACACGGCCAGCTCTCAGGGCATTTCACCGATTGTGGATCAAACGGACGAGTGTAGCAAAGCCAGTCTCCGGCATTATCTGCACAATCATGGCATCCACCAGGTGCAGTTCATGGAGAAGATGTCCAGCTCGGAGATGCAGAGCTTGTTTGACGATTCGGGACATTTTGAGGACATTACGACATTACACACGCAGGATCGATTGAGGAGCTAGTTAAACAGCAACAGGCAGACGAACAGCAGAATCGCATGTCCAACAATGATCGTGTTGAGGCTTTGCTGCAGAAATTGTCCGAGTCAAACAGCAGATACTGTAATCTGGTTCCAGACTACTGTAAAATCACCAGTCCATTAACGTTGTCAAAGCGAGTTTTAATTCTAGACGCAGCCTAAGCCGCCCATGTCACTAGAAAAATATACGGCGATTTGTTTTTGCTTATATGAAAAAAAAATGGGAAATACTCAAGGGGTACGCCACTCAGCACATTGTGCCAAAATTAGATTCGACAAAGCTTGGGCACATCCATCGGCACACCTTCGGTACAATCTCGGCATTTGATTGTTGTAAATAAAATGAGAGCACTGCTGGACAACTGTCATTGAAGTTGTTCACAACATTACGTGCTGTTTGACTGTTTATTTAGGAACATCCTCTAATTGAATATCCCAGAGGAACTCAGACCAGCAGTTCACTTATACATCTAAATACGGAGTGTAGGTTCTAAAGTGGGCTCAAGAGAAATAGGCAGTTAATCAGACCCCATTAGAACCCTTAATTCAAATACTGCTGCAACTCACACAAAACAAACTACAGAAGCCTATTCATCATCCTCTATAGTCGATCTCCAACGATGTTCCCCACTGGTTCCTACTCTCCGGCGGCTGATAGACCGTTGCTTTAATATCACGAAAGGCTAGGTTTCTGATCTGCCTTTGATGGTATTATAAAACCGTAAAACACAGGACTTTTATTATCCTATGAACACAAAACACCAAAATTTCGCACACCCGCCACTTCCCGCGTCATTCTCAATCCGATTTATCTTTGCGATTTCAAACCAAAACATTAAAGGTGTCCGAAATCCCGGGTTGCCGAGATGGGTATTTTACAAACAATCGCAGCTTGCTCTATGACTGGCACAATCGGCACGCCTGCGGCACACTTGTGGCACACTGACAAAAAATATGACCCAAGATTGGTGTGCAGAGTGTCCTACCCCTTGGAAATACTGGTTTTAATGTCAAAATTGACACTGTAGTTCAGCATTTTTTTGCGGAACACAACTACAAAACATTATGAAGAGCTTTTAGTGGGTTGGTTTATTTCCTTTAAATTCCGTTATAATTGCTTATCTTTTGACAGATACGCGTATTTCGTCTACTACTTGCAGACTTCATCAGTGCCAAGTACTCAACACCACTAGTGGCACATTTGATTATCAAATCAAGTCAATAAGTTTGAATTAGAGCCATGAATCTCAATTGAGAGTGTTTAAACATTTTTCGAAACTGGTTCTGGGAATTTGGCTGTGGTCAGATACACTTGTTGATCCATGACATGATTTCTATTTGCTTGAGGATGAAAAACCATAAATACCAGTAAATGAGGTTTTGAAAGTGTCTTTTTTGGGGCCCTGCCGGAATCGGTTCCAGGTGACGGAAACGGACAAATCGGAGAAAACCAGGCACCTTCAAGAATCTGTTCAAAACTTGATTTTTGGGAGCGAATTTCAGTTTGGGTCTTTTTTGACCCGCTAATGCACAATGTGTAACCTTTTTCTAACGCAATGCAAGGTTAAAGTGACGCTGGGTCAAAAAAGACCCCAACACACTAGGAAGGTTAATGCTATTTAATATTATAAGAGAAAGGCACTAGCCGTGGGTGGATGTTTCTGTTTTTTAATCGAAATAATAATGATGTGACCGTTGTCATGACTGATTTACTAACGCGGCCATTTGTGGATTCTGCGAATCTTGTCCTTAATTGTTGCAGTTAAAAGCAGTTTGGTAGGGATTTATATGATTGGACAAATCTCAAACCAATTTTTCGTATCTACAGACATGATCAAAGCAATATTCGTAACCCCTTACTCGGTCTAATTATAACTAACAGCATGGAATTACATTTTTCCGCATCTAAAACCCTCTCGGAACCACTAGCAAACCGGAAGCTCCCGACACTCCGACATTGTGTCTGATGCCATCCCGCAAAATTGACTCAATTTAGTTTAAACGAACACACACACACACATAAATACGAAGACAGTTCCTTCCTTGATGCAACAAAGAGTCATTCGCATCCTCTCACTATGTCACTATACATGTGTTGCTCTCATAAATTCCGTAAAATCCCGGCAGTACGTTTCCTTCCTTGCTTGCTTGCTTGCTTTCAGGACTTGCTCGCCGGCTTCAGTGTTTCATCGCGATAGTGATGTAAAATGTAATTATGAAAGAGTATTCAATTTTATCTAGATGCGAACGTGTGTGTGTGTGTATGTATTTATAGTTTGTGTTGCTTCTGGTGCCGCCTTTCAAAGGGAAGTGTTTTGTTCGAGCTTATCTTGGCCCCTGCATCACACATCCAGGCTTGCTCATATGTGTGCGAAAAGGCTTCCTTTTGTCCCACACCAGAAGACGACAACGACGACGACGACGAGGACCATTCTAAGCTTCAAATGAATCCCATTTTCCCACACGGAGAGTTGGTGACAGGAAGATAAGCGAACGAATTATGGTTAACTCTTGCAGCGAGAAAGGAAGTTCATCACGAGGGGCTTCAGTCATTTCCGGGAAAGGCAATTTTAATTTTTTGTTTCAGTGCAACAGAACATCCATCGCGTAATTGCAGCTGTTGAGAGTTGGCGTGCTCATCGAACCGACCAAACCAAACCACGCCGAAATGATAATGTAGGTACGGTTTTTTTTTGCTGTTGTCGTGAGGTGAGCGATAGGATAGGTGCTGACCGCAACGTTATTGATAAGCGGTTGGGTAATGCAAATTATCAATTATTACCGGTGCTCCGGTGGGACTATAAAATCTACCCCCGACCGTTCGGTAGGCATCAGTAGAAGTCGGTCGGTGAAGCACGATGCGATCCATTTTGGCAGTGACCGTAGTCTGCCTGCTTGCTGTTGCAAGTGGCAGCTACATGACCAAGGATGTCAAGTACGGTGACGAGTTGTTCCTGAAGAAGCAGAAAGCCATCCTGGAGATCTTCCAGCACATTCATCAGCCTGAGGTACACACTACCCTGTGGGAAGAATCCAAGGGATTCGATGTTGAACAGAACCTGGACCACTACACCAACGTGGAAGCCGTGAAGGAGTTCCTGCGGTTCTACAAACACGGCATGCTCCCAATGGAGGAGATCTTCTCCATCCACAACGAGTTCCACCGCGAAGAGGTGATTTCCCTGTTCCATCTGTTCTACTACGCCAAGGACTGGGACACTTTCTACAAGACCATGCTGTGGGCTCGTTTCCACGTCAACGAAGGTATGTTCGTGTACGCCCTTACCGTTGCAGTCCTGCACCGCCACGACATGGAGGGAATCGTCCTGCCAGCACCGTACGAAATCTATCCCTTCTACTTCTTCAACGATGTCGTCATCAGCAAGGCCCAGCGCTACAAGATGCAAGGCTTCTACAAGATGAAGAAGATCAACGACGTCTACACTGCCTACATCCCCAGCAACTACACCGGATACTACGTCCACACTAGCCCGGAACAGCGCGTTGGATACTTTACCGAAGATATCGGTCTGAACTCCTACTACTACTACTTCCACGCTGACTATCCATTCTGGATGGGCGGCAAAGAATTCGGCCTCTACAAGGACCGTCGTGGAGAATTCTTCCTGTTCCAGCACCAACAGCTTCTGGCTCGTTACTACCTCGAACGTTTGTCCAACGATCTCGGAGTCATTCCACCCTTCTCCTGGCACAAATCCATCACCACCGGCTACTACCCCTACCTTCGCTACTACAACGGTATGGCGTTCCCGGTGCGTGACAACTACTACAGCGCTTCCATTGACAAGAGCCAAGTCGTCGAGCAGATCGAAGACTTCGAACACCGCATCATGGAAACCATCGACTACGGTTTCATCGTCCTGCCCGATGGAAGCTACGTCAACATCACCACCCCGTCCGGAATCGAATACCTTGGCAATCTGATCCAGTCGAACGAAGACAGCGTCAACTCTCGCTTCTACGGATACCTGGAAGTGTTGGCCAAATACTTCCTCGGAGGCTCCATCAAGCTGCGCAACGAATACCGCTCGATCCCATCCGTCCTGGAGAAGTTCGAAACCACCATGCGTGATCCGATGTTCTACCAGCTGTACAAGCGCATCGTCGAGTATTACTACCGCTTCCTGGACCTGCTCCCATCGTACAAGAAGGAAGAACTGGACTTCCCCGGAGTCAAGATTGAATCCGTTGAGATGGACAAGCTGGTGACCTATTTCGATAAGTTCGATGCCGACATCACCAATGCCGTCGATGTGGAAGTGTTCGATGAATCGACCATGAAGGGATCGGACATGAAGAAGTTCGGCAAGATCGCTCACTACCAAGGCGAAGATTTCGTCCTCTATGCTCGCATGCCTCGTCTGAACCATCTTCCGTTCACCTTCAATCTGAATGCTGTCTCGGACAAGGCTCAGAAGGCCAGCATCTACGTCTACCTGGGACCGAAGTACGACCAGTACGGAAACATCTACGGAGTCGATGCCAACCGTGAGAACTTCTTCGAGCTTGACCACTTCCTGGTCGATCTGATCCCGGGCAAGAACGTCATCACTCGCAACTCGCAAGACTTCAGCTGGTTCGTCAAGGACCGCACCACCTACTTCGAGCTGTACAAACAGGTCATGAAGGCCTACAACGGCGAAGGCAAGTTCCCGCTGGACATGTCCGAAGCTCACTGCGGCTTCCCGGCTCGTCTGATGCTGCCCAAGGGCAAGAAGGGCGGTATGCCGTTCCAGTTCTTCTTCATGGTCGTCCCGTACCACACTCCAAAGGTTGAGCAGTTCACCGGTTTCGACAGCACCCTGTCCTGTGGAGTCGGATCCGGAGCCCGCTACCTGGACGATTTGCCATTCGGCTATCCCTTCGAGCGCAAAATCGACGAAAGTGCCTGGTTCACGCCGAACATGAAGTACTACGACACCATGATCTACCACAAGAGCGAAACCGAGGTCAACTCGGTCGTCGTCTAGTCGCGTATTTAAGCCACTGGGAAATTCTTTAATTGAAGACTGTTAATAAATGAGGAAAAGTTTGCTTTAGTAGTAGAATGTTGCGTTCCATTATCGACTGCGCCTTAGTCACTTCCCTCTGAAATGCCAACAATTAAATCACTCTCCAATGCCATCCGATTCCATTTGATGGAAACGTTATTTCCGTGAGAATTATTGCATCACAGCACCAAGCCACGGTCCTGATGCGTTTTTTTTTCTCGAACCAGGATCGGTTTGGTGTGGCATTTCGCCGGTTCGTTGTCCCAAAAGCACTTAGCAAATTGAAATCGTTCTTTCACGAAATGCAAATAGTTTCCAATGCCATGGCGCGAACGCACGTAATTGTGTGCCGGCTGCTGTGGCAAGAGGAGGGGGTGAATTATTTCGAAAATAAATTCAAACATACTGCAATTTAACAACATGAATTAAAATATTTTCCTATCCTTTTTTTCCGGGATGAGGAACAGAGCGAGTGAATTTTGCTTCCGGTCTGTCTTCCTGTTCGCCTCGGCGCTGGTTATAATGATGATGGAGGTGATCGCGAAGGGTGAAATGGGTGGGTGGGGGGAGGGGGGTAATTTGCTAGTTCTTTATTCTCTCTATTATTCGAAGTGGAAAATGTCGGAATCATCCGTCGTCTGTGGGTCTGGGCTAGCTGTCGACGGGTGCACAGTGAGCTTTGTTGGTGGCTGTCAATTGTTAAGTCATCGTGCTTTAAGGATAACGCTTGACAGCTTTGCGCGTTTTCAGCGGCTCATATATGTCATCATCCAAAAGCCGTACAGATCGGAAAATGGTGATGGTATTGTGAGTGGCATTTTTCTTATTTTCAGCTTTGTTCATAAAGTTCATTAGTGTACCCGAAGAAATCTGAAGTGGTGAAACGAATTAACCATTTAGTCAAGGCTATTTTTCACACAGATGGCGCTGTTCAATTGGAAGAAAGTCATAAAATTTCCCATACCGAATTTGGTAGTTGAAATATTACACTTTTGTTGCGTTTGAGTCATTTTTAGATCACACGGCATGCAGATTACCGGGGGTCCACGGTATCTGGCTGTACTCGACACACAAAAGATACTTTCTAAGCTCCGCCCCTAGCGGGATTTCGCTCCATTCTTTGATTGGGGTGGAACCAAAGAAGTACTTTTTGTGTTGAGTACGCTTAAAAGGAGGGATTTTTTTATGTGAATCTGAATTCATATATAGAGATACTAGACATTTTTTGGAATGTCAGGCACTCTACTTTGTAGTATATGAAATTGATTTATAGGTTTTTGGCTGCATTGTCCTCTGTGACCAAGTAACGGAAAACAGATTATGCTTATTTTTCGATAGATGCCACCGATAACAACAGCGGTAAAGCAAAACATCATGCTTGATATTGCTTTTACAAGCTCCTTTGATATTGCGAGACTATTCACACCGTGTAAAGTTGAAGCTGAGAGTTGAATCGAAGCAACAACAGTTGACGGTTTTCTCAATAAGAACTGATCAGCCTTTAAAAAATATGCAACGCCTCGATCAGCTGGATGTACTTTCTGATCAACCTGCCATCTTAGAAGAATTTGAAATTTGAACTATTGAAAAGGTTAAGAACTTCAGAATGAGCTTTATCAATCTGAAGTCTTGAAAAAGGAACCAGAAGGCTATACTGAAATTTATTATCAGGTGCAGATCTTTCGAAACATTATGCAAGAACTAGCGAAAATCTCCAGAATGGTACTTGATCAACCTGCAATCGTGAAATTAAATTGAGAGTAGTTTAAACAAATTGTAACCCTCGTCTATGGTGACAATTAATAACCCACCCTTTTAACGTGTTTGCCATAAGCGTGTGCTTTGTCTGTTATGATTTGTATTTGTTTTGGTCACACGCTCGGCAACATACTGACCACACTGCTTTATTTTTAAACATTTTAATTTGTTGTTCTCTAAGTAAATTTTATTCGTGTAGGCATGTTTTAAGGATTAGAATATAGTGTAAAAATTATCGTTTCAAATTGTCTAGCGACTAGAATAAAATTAGGACCCGTTTCTCCTCCCGCTGCAGAAGAATGCGAAAATCATAAGCAGCATGAAAGTCGAGCGCGGTAGCAGGAGAACGATGGCGGTTTTGTGGATATTCGTTATTGTCCGTGATTAAGAGTACGAAAGAGGAGAAAGTTGGATCGCCGCCAAGGGAAGCTAAGCGTAAATGATTCTTTCGCTTCCCGGCTCACCACCATGGATTTCCGAACACCCACCGTCCTCTCTGCGGTGGCTTAGCCAGTAGAGCCAGTCTCGCCACCGCAGTTAAGAGCCAAGGAGCGACGAAGTAGGCCGAACCGAAGGAGTGTTGGCCTTGGTGGACTACCAAGGTATTTGTTTCGGTGATTTCGGTGATTTGTTTCGAGTATTTGTTTCGGTGATTCGTCACCATCGTCGCCGGGAGGGTTCCGATAAAGGAGCCGCGATCACCCACCCCCCCCCCCCCCGGCTAAACGCAAAGACCGCTGTTAGGCAGCTCGAAGTGTTGAAGGAGAAAAAGCTCGGCATATACCGTATCTGGAGCCGACGTGAACAACAACCGCCGCCCCCGTCACCATTAGCGAGAAGAAAGGGAAGGTCAGATTAGTCAATAGACGTCTTAAATTGCATATTTTTTCTTTCTCTTTTCTATCGTTAACGCCCAAAATCCGAACGTCTTTGGGCGAAGTACTCTGCTCGTAGCCGCCCCGCCGGGGTAAATCGGGCCAGCTATAGGCTGGCAGGTAAGCCGCAACTAACAAAATCTTCGATTAGATTAGCATACCCGAGAAATTTTATATTTTGAACAATTTCTGACCAAGACATTAAAAAATATCGAGAGGAACAAATTGATATCTTATTGAAAATCAGTGAATATTCACAAACTGCTGTAAAATTTCTACGAACGTTGCTGTACTTTGGCAATCTTTCATGAACTTAAACACAGCTCCCAGAAATTCTTCCCAATCCATTGAATTTATCGGAAGCTCTCTGAGTCTGAACTCAAGTAACAATTTTGGTATTATAAGGGTTCTGTAGACCACGATTTAGACTGGTACAATGCTTCAAAAAATCTCCATGAAGCTTACAACTTGTTACTTGAGAAGTTTGCTGAATTTGTATTAAAGTTCTGTGAAAACCTGAAATGTTGCTTATGAAGATATTTTCGGATGGGAAAAAAACAAGAATAAACACGAAACGCGGTTTTAGATTTAAGCAACGAAATAAAAAGTGCATAGATTGAACTTGGCTTTTGGTTGGAAAAATAATAAACAGTGAAACATCAACAAGGTGATTCAACGCTTAGGCGTTGAGAAAGAAATAGGGGAACACCGAATGCAGTGGTTGCCAACTTAACAGCTTTCACGTCAAAGAAGTTTCCTGAACTTCTTTTAAGCTTCAAACTTATATTTTTTTACTAGCTCCCTTGTCAAATTAAGATCCCAGAAGAATGAGGGTGCCAAAATCAAACTTGGGCACACTTGGGCGCAGTCATTGGCGCTGTTTGACACCCATGGTTACAATTTTTATGATCTTTAAAGCTACTGGCAACACTGATTTATTTCAGTGCCATGTGCATGTGTCAAATTTTTTAAAGAGAAAATTAGCGATTTGGAACGGTCAACTAATTGAAAGAATTCCAAAGTTCATTGGTTGCTTTTAAATGTTTTTTCTCCCTTACCGCTAAAGGCCCAAGCGCAATGACAGCGGCAGCGGAAATTCCCGATCTGAGCCACCCTACTTATCGGATTGAAATCTAGTTATAATCAAAACGACTGTCAAACATTCCGTGTCCCTTCCGCCCACATTGCGTTTGGACCTTAACTCCTGCTCAAAACTAGCTGTGTATAGAGAAACAATCAGTTCTAGACCAACAATTGAAATAGGCGGACCAACGAAACGTAAACAATGGCTTTATACGCAAATTTCGCCTGCTCACACAGCAAACTAATTATAGCATGTTCAGCGCAATCGGTGGCTTACAGAAAGCTCTTCAATAGGGTCTCCGCACTGTTTGGCTTTGACCTAACTCGCCAGCTGCTTCGCCGGAGGTTTAGTTAGTTTTTTCCTTGATCAGTTTAGTTTGTCTACGAATGTTCCTTTTTTACGAGATGAATGTCTATGTACATATTGATGTTTAGTTTCAGTACTTTTCATATTTAGTTTAGGTTACAAGATTGGGCCAATAATGCCTGTTGATGTTTAGTCATAAATAAATAAATAAATAAATAAAAAGTTTTCAAAAGCTCTATAAAGTTTTTGAAGATGTATGAAGTTCCATGATATAACATAACATAACTATAACATTTCCGAAACTTTTATCTAGTTCCCCAACCTTCTAGAGCGTTTCCTGGGATCAAATAACTTTTTGTTAAGTCTTGCCTTGTACGGATTGCCAGAAAGAAGGTCTTTGAAAAAAAAACTCAGTTTTATGATGAAATAGTGTTTACCTTTTCCCACCTGTAAATTTTAAAAGTAAAAGTGTGACATGTGACTACATTTACTGCCGATTGTTTACGTCGGGTCACCTAGGCCCTAGCCCCCTCAGTCAAACATCCTATTTACACTTATGGTTGTTAAGCATCCTAACAATATTTTTTTTTTTAATTTGTCGAACCTCTTAACGGAATCCCTTTATGAAGAGCTTTGAGTATGTTGGCTTATTTCCTTTTAATTCCCCCCCCCCTTCCCCCCTCTAGCTACGCCCATGACTGCCATGTCACAATAATTGTACAATTGTACAATAACAGGTACTTAAATTTAGTCTCCAACAGGTAGAGGCATGCTACGATGTGTGGCTTTAGCCTGGTTTTAGCTAAAAAGTCAATGCCAAAGCGCTGCATAGAATGAGGGTCCCTGACTACCTGTGCAGGATTCTGAGGAGCTACTTCCAGAGCCTGGTTCTGGTGTACGAGACAGGTATGGGACAGAGATCGATCACAACGGGAGTTCCACAAAGCTCCATCATTGGTCCAACGTACGCCTTTGACTCGAAGCGCGTGTTGAAATACCTGGAATGATGATCGATGACCGGCTAAACGGCGTCG